ATTCCACAGACATTGCAAGAACGTTTCTCCCCAGAGTGAATAGATAGATGTCTGGTAAGGTTATGCTTGCTAGCAAAAACGTTTCCACAGTCCTTGCATTTGAATGTTTTCATATGAACTTTATCCATGTGTTTTTTTAATAATGATGAGTGGCTAAATACTTGGTCACACTCACTGCAATTGATTGCAGCACAACCTTTGCTGTGGTAGCAAAAATTTTTCTCCCAATTAGAATATTTAAGGCACTTCATACACTGCCTTTTTTCTTCACTTAGCCCAGTGTTGAGATCTTTTCTTCTTTGGGCTTCATTTCTCCATTCCTAAAGGACGGGTACATGCAGTTTAGTAAGTGGCTTGTTATCGATTATTTAAAGGAAAGTACTTTAACCATTAGGGATTGTTCATTTTTTATCAGGAGGAAGGGGCTTGGTGGTTTTTGCAGGGAGGCCACCAGAAAAAATAGCGATGTGAGAGGGGGGTCATCTTAGGAAACTTAAGTGTTTGTTGGCTGTCATTGTAAACACATCTCAGAAAATCTTAGAAAATCTTAGAAAATGGTGCATATTTTTCGCTACTGGTATATGGGATTAAAGTTTCTCTTTTGGAAGCAGTGAAGCAGCTCATCTGATTTATGTTTGTTGCGTCCTCACATAATTTGTATCTATCCCCTGAATACGAGTGTCAGCCGAGCCTGTCGGTAGTATACTATGGTATACTACGATACATCGCGGCTACCAGCCGGCAATACGGCTATCAGCCGGGCGTGTCTGTAATATACTATAGTATACTACAGACACGCCCGGCTGATAGCCGTATTGCCGGCTGGTACCCGGATGTATTGTAGTATACTACAGTATACTACCGACAGGCTTGGCTGACAGTTGTATTGCATTGTAGTATTGTATTACAGTTAAATAACCCCGGTTGGTAGGTGTGATGTTTTGCAGTACACTATAGTATAGTATACTACAGACACGCTCGGCTGATAGCCGTATTGCCGGCTGGTACCCGGATGTATTGTAGTATACTATAGTATACTACTGACAGGCTCGGCTGACACTCGTATTGCATTGTAGTATTGTATTACAATTAAATAACCCCAGCTGGTAGCCGTGATCTATGCAGTGATGTGTTGGAAGAGTAGATACGGCTCGGCTGCTACTGTACGTACCTTGGCCGTGTACAATGGTGTACGTATTTACGCAATCATAAATCGCCCAGGCTAAGAATAACTGTATATATACAATTAATGTTTAATGTTGTTTAATGTTTAATGTTTACAAAAATTTACGAAAAAGATTATATGTTGCATTACCTGCAAGTAGGCAAGCTAGTCGTGGCAGGCAATGAATTTAAGTGTAGGTAGTTTAAGTAAGTTTAGAAAAATATTTTTACAAATAAGTGAAGGAAAGTATATAAAGTTAATTGATTATGAAAAATATTGTAATTTTAAATACAGTATTACAGATCTAGCATTACAGAGAAAAGGCAAGCAGCTGAAACATCCTTATCTAGTATTCTATTTCAAAAGATTTTTAAGGTAATTTAAACCATCATAGTTACAATTGGCAATCTTGCTATTATCATGGGCACATCAACATAGTGATTCTCAGTTGTAAGAATTGTAAAGAGGGCCTGGCACATTTTTTGTTTAAATATCTTTTTACTTTTTGAGCGAAGGCCCTGGTCAATACTATTCCAAATTTCCGCAACCAAGTCGAGAAAACGAACATTTCTGAAGCTCTAGGCGAGAATATTTTATATAAAAATTATCTTTCTTCGCCGCTCTTGAATTATAATTGTGAACCTCAGATGTTTTTTTGAAAAGTTCTTGTAGAGTTGTTGGCGAATCTCCGGTTGATATATCGTATAACATGTTAGCAGATTCTTTGATATACATCATATTAATAGGAAGAGAATTTGAAGAAACAAACAAGGGAATTGCATGATTATCAAATGATTTAAAATACATCAGACATAAAACGCGTTTTTGTAATATAAGAAGTTTCTTTATGTGAAACTTGGCAGCATTTCCCCATGCAGACAGTCCATACGAAAGATAAGGTAAAATTATATATCTAGTATGGTATGATTTGGAATAAAATATTGCAATTTTGAGATAATCCCAACATTTTTACTAATCTTTAATGCAATATAGTCAATGTGATGCTTCCAACTTAAGTGGCAATCAATAATGATACCAAGATACTTTATATATTCTTTGCATTCGAGTGGTGTGTATTGCTTAGAATTATTATCATACATGCTAATTACTGGATGATAATTTACTGATTTCTGGTGTGGGCGAAAAATAACAAAATTTGACTTTTTTATATTAAGCGTCAGTTTGTTGGTATTAAGCCATTTGCAAACATTATTCAATTCAGAATTTACAACAGATTCAAGTGTTTTCAAGTTTTTATTAGCATATAGTAGGTTGGTATCATCCGCAAAAAGAAAAAAATTAAAAACGTTTGATGGAAGAGAACCAGTCATTTACCACTCCCCTAATACCGTAATGATTTAATTTACCCAACAGTATATCGTGGTCTACCGTATCAAAGGCTTTCTTCAAGTCTATAAATATACCGCAGGAATAAAGTTTATTATCCATGTTAGTTTGGATTTTGTTAACAATGTCGAGAATGGCATGTTGTGTAGAATGTTGTTGACGGAAACCATATTGTGAGGGACACAAGATATTTTTCATATTTAGGTATTTGTCTAAACGTTTATACATGATTTTTTCAAAAATTTTATTAAATACCAATAAAAGGGAGGGATATGGGTCGGTAATTATTCGGTTCAGTTTCATCCTCCGCTTGGTAAATTGGAATTATTTTCGCAATTTTGAGTTTATTAGGATAAATTCCAGTTTCAATCGACCGATTAAAAATATCTGCCAAAGGTTTGCTCAGAATGTGTTTTGCACATTTAAATAATCCTCGAAGGGCATGAGTATAAACCCTCAGCTTTTTTGGTTGGTAGTGTGATAATTTCAAGTTCAATATCTCTTTCAGTTATCGGAATGAAAACAAATGAATCTAGTTGAGATGTGTAGTTAAGGCTATTTGTATATTGAAGGTAATCAGAATAATGTTTTTCAGAATGTGGCATTTTAGCAGCTAATCTTTGTCCACATGTAGCAAAATGTTTATTCAAGATGTTAGATATATTTTTAGGATCAAATGTTAATCGAGAAGTAGGATCCTGTCGCATGGCACCAATATTATTTTTATTATTACGGCTACGTCCTAAAATTTCCCTTATTCCTTCCCATTTCTTACTCATATTTGTGTGATTCAAGTTGAAATATTTTTCATAGTACAATTTTTTGCTGGCTCGGAGTAAAGTAACAATATAGTTTCTATATATTTTATACTGAGTTACATTATTGGTGTGAAATAACTTATTTTTAACTTTAATAGATGCCCTTATTCCTCTAGTTACCCATGGCTTGGATAATTGTTTTGCTTTACGCCTAGAAATGGTCTTGATAGGAGCATGTTTATTTATTAGTTTATTTACTTTATTAAAAAAAGTCGAAAATAACTTGTTAGGATTATTCTCTGGTTCCATTACGACAAAATCCCAATTTATCTCTGAAAGTTCTTGGTTAAATAAAGTATTGGAGAATGATGAATAGTCACAATATTTACGTTTTTGGATGTTTTGTCTGACGGTAATGGAATCTAGGATACAAAATTGTGAAAAATGATCGCTTACATCAGATATTATGTTCCCACTAACTAACACATTGGAAGGGTTATTAATAAATATGTTGTCAATTAATGTGGCTGATTCCCCATGGACGCGCGAGGGTTTATCGATGCTAGGGATCATTGAACAGCTTTGTAAATATAATAAAAAATTATGTGCATAATTACACCCATCAAGTTTTAATAGGTCTATGTTGAAATCACCCATGATAAACACATATTTGCCTGTTGATGTGTATTGCTCTAGTTTTTGTTCAAAATACGCTTGGAATGTCTCAGGTGAATTGTGTTGTCTGTATACAACACAGCATATAATATTTTTCTTGCTAGGAATGATAATTTCAATCCAAAGCGCTTGATAAGCTGTATTAGCAGATTTTTCAATAACAGTATAACTAAATTCATTATTAATATACATTCCAACCCCTCCAGCAGCTAAAGGGGTTGGAATAAATTCAAATGAGTAGTCAGAGATGCTGTAATTAAAACCGTCTAAGTTGGTATCTTTAATGCGTGTCTCTGTGATGCCAATAACACTAAAAGGAAATTTCAATTCGTCTAACATTTGAACTTGTAAATGTTCTAAGTTCTTTCTTAAACTACTTACATTATTATGAAATAAGGAGAAATGATTATTTGATAAACGATGATTACCCTTTTTGATTTTAGTAAAATTCTCAGGAGAATAGTATTTGCAATGAATATGGTGGTTCATCACATTTTGATCGGGGTTAATATTAGAATTTGATCGTATATTTAGATTAAATACGTCAAGATCATAAATACTTGTAAGCTTATTTAATTGTCTTTCAGTTGAAGGTCTGCTAGTCAGAAAGAAATCATTATATATACCGTAGAAAGGTAGTTCACGAAAATTTGACTTATGTGCATTAACTTCGTGTTTACTCGTCATCAATTAAACAAACATATGATATAGTCAATGAAAACGTCTGATACTTAGCTTTAATCATTCAGCATTGAGTCGTTGCCAGTTGATTCCTGTTGTATTAAGTTGGTAAGATCTTGTAGTGATTTCATTTTGGTAATTCGTGAATTTTCAGCTTTTGGTAAGCAAATAGAACTGTTTTTGACCCAACAGAACTTGTATCCCATCGTCTTTTGATATTTTTTAGCTTCGTAAAGAAGTGATTGAAGGCGGGGCGTTAGATGGTCATATATATTCACTCGAAAGTCAGGATTGCTGATCGTTCCGATACCAAGCTGTTCGGATGTTACACTAGACGATTCTTTACGAGCAGCCATGACTTTTCTTTTTGCAAGTCATCGAACAAACTTGCATATTATTGCATCGGGATACTGTGAAACCCTGCGATGAGGAACGCGGTGTGCAATGTCTATGTCTTGAAGAGAGACATCTTCCACGCCCATAGCTGAAAATAGCTTAACACAAAGTTTAGCTGTAGCTTCTACCGATTCCCTTTCACTGATTTGAGGTACATTAGTTATTTTTATATTATACTGGTAACTGTATTCTTCGCTCGCTTCAATTGCTTCGGCAATTTCATCACACCTTCTGCTGACCTTATCTAGATTTTTGTCGATGCGATTAAGGTCTTGGCTGGCTTGTTTGCGAAAAGCATGTAGATCGTCGTACTGTTTACTCAAAAATTCTATAGCTTTAGCTTGTTCTTCGCCTACGAAGTGATTTGGATTGGCGTTATCTCGTGTCTTTTCAATGGCCGTCTTTGCAATACTCATTTGTGTGTTTAAATCTTGACTGACTTTATTTAATTGACTCTTTAAGTCTTGAATCTCAAATCATAGCAATTGGTTTTCATTCTTAAGTGCTTTTGTTGCCATAACTTAATTCATAAAAATATTTTTCAAAGTTTTATGGCGGAGCTTCAAAATCATTGACCGTTCAGCTCGAACGGTGCTTCACGATTAACATATTTTCTGTGTAAGACGTGGTAGCGCACAGGGACAACACTCAGCGTGTATGCTGAGGGTCGTGGGTTCAATCCCGGAGTGCACGCAAGCAATTTGAATTTTTTCTTTGCCGAAATTGGGTTTTTTCCTCATTTATTTACCTGTCGCATAGCTAGCTATATGCATTGGGAAGATGAATTTAGATGCATTTCGATGATTTTTGGAAAAATTAATGTAATTTTGGTGGTTTTCTGCTTATGAAACATTCTAGAACCAGTCTCCGAAATGTGCGCATTTTTTGAACGAATAGTATACTATAGTACAGCCCAGCTGGCAGCCGAGCAATCGGAGACAAAATTTCCGGCTGTCAGCCGGCGTCAAACGCGCTGATCGGGTGAGTATTTCTAACAAATGTTGACGAATTTAACTGAATTTTGGCACAAGAATGAGTTTAAGAAACATTGTATGGCAAAAAGAGTCTGTGGAAAATACCAGGAAACAGTCTTAAGAAATAATCTTGGCGGGATGCAGCGAAACGTGACTATGTAAGTTTGAAATACAATTTATAAAGATTTTCTTAGTCTAAAATATGTTGTTTGAGTTTGAATCTTGTGTTCTAGTTTAAGTTGTGTGCCTTTATGAGTTTATAATCATTTCCCAAGTTGTGCAATTAATGATTAACACTACTCAGGATATATGAAAAATGTGCCAAATTGCACTCGCCTCGGCGGCTCGTGCAATTTTGGCACATTTTTCAAATATCACTTGTAGTGTTAATCATTAATTGCACTCCTTCCCGTGTGATTACCTATTCTAATTAAACAGCATATTTTATGAAATGTTGCACTATTTCCATTTAACCAAAATACATGGGAAGTATAAGGTTAGAAGAACAGGAAACAGTGCATCTAAACCTACTGTATAAAATATTATCTAGAGTGATAAAATATTAAAATTATTTATACCTATTTATATATTTACATGTTAACTTCTTAACTTATTTATTTTTTAAAATTATGATTTTACATTGTGGGTGCAACAGAACTTGGTTCCGGCCGGTTAGTTCCTGCCAGAACTCCGATTTTTCAGAGTTCCAGCCAGAACTAATAAAAAAAGCATGACCGGAACTGGAACTCTGTTGTTTTCAGAGTGATAGAATATCATACGTTTTTGTGTCTAACAAAAGTTCACAGTAGGAAGAAATTTGAACTACACAAGGAAAATGTACATTTAACACGTTTGTCAATCTTTTTATTCTGACATTGTGAGCCCTCTTTGATGACTTGAAGTGTCTGCCTGTCTGGCAGCAGACAAAGTAACATATGACCATATATGGCTTAATAAATCAGTTCCGGCCAGAACTTTTTTGCAGTTCCAGCCGGAACTTTAAAAATTGGTTCCGGTGCACCCTTATTTTACATATTACCCAAACTTAATGTCAATAATATATACTATGGTGTAATGCGAAGTAATGTAAAACTGATGAAGTATGAATAAAGTTTAAAATATGCCTTATTATTGCTTTACTGGACAGTCTGCATTATGATATGCAATGAGTATACAACAATATACTTAATACACTTTCCAATGTGGGCAATGATTGAGTAATGTCTGCAGGTTGTGGTGTTTCAGTTCACATTGTGATGCTGTTTGGTTGTATGTCTCAGATTTAACATTTACAGGCGTGTGTGTTTTGGTAAAATGATCTTTTCTGTTGTCAATTACAAGCTCAGCCAAATGGTCACTTATAGACAAGCCAAAATATGATGAGATTCAGCCTCCTCCAAGGAAACAAATCTTTTTCTGTAGGAAATGTATACCCTCGACCTTTAAGTCAACTATCTGAAAGACATAAAGATAAAATGAAACAAGTTAATTGTACTGTTCTGAAATATATATCAGGTGTTGATGAAAAATTGGCCATTTTATTATAGGGAGATATGAAGTGATTATGACTATGGGGTCATTCATAGCATAATTTTGACAAGAATATAGCCTTATGCTGGTGAATAGAGTTCATAAGATGTCAATGATATATCCATGCAGCATCGTTATTCCTGACATTCAACAAAAGTACACACTGGGAGGGGGGTTCTTAACCTTTCAAACTGAAAGCATAGTGACCACACTCCTCACCTGCCCTCCCCTCCTATTTTGTGTGAAGGTCTTTAACCCTAATGCGCAACCCCTCGCTAGAAATTTTTCCACTCCTTTAAAAAATATGAAAATCGGTCCTTGAACAGCATCTTGATCATACTCGTATACCTGACTCCACCCAATAATTTCAGCTAGCTTTCATTTTGAAAAATGTAACATGCGGGCCACTTGCTATACCTGGCCAATAAGGGGCTCCCATAGTCTGATGACATCAAAAATCATATATCTAGGTGCACTTGCTTGGGTATTACAACTCGAAACATCAAACATATACACGCTTAGCAGTATTCTCATTAGCAAATCATGAGATTACATTTCATAGCAAATTTCCCCAGTATCAACTGTAAATATCAGTCTTAAACAAGCCATTGTCTCTTTAATACTTCATCAATATAATAGAAAATGGATAAGAACAATTGAGAAAGGGTATGAACTCATGTTCCTATATATCAAAACTGAGAAATATATGATTGCAGGCCATTGTATGATGAATTGAATATCATTGTGTTTTCGCGCCATTTGGTGTGGTAACCGGAATGTTGCGTGTTTGAATCTGGTTTGAATAAATCAAGCACCAAATACCCCATTTCGGAAAGTCATTAACTTCTCGGTTTGAGGGGTCGTTTTTGATTTCTTGGTATCATTTGAAAGAACAACTTCTCTTCTATGTACTGGTATGATTTTTTTGACTTTTTCTATTTTAAACTATAAACGACCCCATTATATATTGAAACCAATTTCCGGCAGTGTGCAATGACCCGGGAAATAGGTCAAAACATACGCAAATTATTTGCCCCAAAAAGTATCAAATAACCCAAATAAAATATTTATATAGTAAATTTCAATCCCAAGAACATATTGTTAATAAATACCTTTGAAACTTTCGTGATTTTCAGCGAGAAAAAATTTGATGAAAACTCAATTGAGAAAAAAATTCACAATTGAGAAAAAAATCTGCCGCAATGCATCATGGTATAGTGACAATTCCTCCTCTGGTATCGCATATATCCTTGCAGTAGCTCAGAAGATTGGAGACGACCTTTCGAGGCACTGTGAGGCTTCCCGGGTATCTACATTATAAGTACCCAATGAAGCTATATATATATAAAAACTGGATAGCTGTTTTGCAAAATTGTGAGCAATTTCAAGTATGTTCAGTTTTTTTTGTACACTGTGTATAATGTATCAGGGTTCGAATTAATTCTGAAGAAAAAATGGTTTGTGAATTGATTTTTTATTTTAAGGAAATTTTAAGGAATTTTCACCTAATTGGAAGTTAAAAAGTGAAAGCACTGTAATTCTCAAAATTCAAATATATACATTGCAAACTCACAAAGAAATAGAATTTTGGGTGGAGTTAAATAGTTTTTAAGTACCATTTAACAAGAATATCTTCAAAATATATGATCCCTTCATCACATGTACAGACAGAGAAATTAATTTATTATTGTATATTTTTATCAATTTGACAGACTTTTGATTCGTGATTTTGACCAATTTTTATGAATCACGAACCATTATTTCGCACCCTGTGTATTTACTCGTGCGAGGGCTCTTTAAATTTTCAGAGTTTCAGATGTGGCACACATTATTTAAAAAATCTTTTATTTTTGTGAATTAGAACAAGAACTTTTAACAATAAAATAAACAAGTTTTAAATGTCTTTCTCATGGTGGAAGGTGTTTACACTGTTTAGTGTGGTGCTCTTTAAAAAAAGTTAATCTGAATGAGCTAAGTTGGAATGTACATATCACCGAAATAAATAAGAAAGCAATAAATCAGTTGAATTTCATCAAACATAATAGATCTAAATGTACATCCCAGGTCAAGACATTGGCCTACACCACACTTGTAAGAATATGCATCCAACCCAGAATATGCATCTGCAGCATGGGACCCTCACACCAAAAATAATACAATGCAAATTGAAAGTGTGCAACATAGAGCTGCTCGATTTGTCAACTATTATGACAGGCATTCCAGTGTGACAGATTTTGTCAAGCAACTTGGATGGGACAGCCTTGAAGTCAGAAGGAAATTAATCGTCTTATATAGTCTTTTTTAGATCAGTTAACAAGACAATATCACCATCCCTTCTGAAAGAACTGCGTAAGCCAACAAGAATTACACGAAATAAACATTCAAAGTCATACTTGAAAATGTCAACAGGACCCAATTATTTAACGGAAAGTTTCTATCCGAGAACTGGTAATGACTGGAATGCTTTACAAGAAGATGTTATCATAGCAGCAAGTACTAAACCTCTTATGAAACTTGTCCTGGACCATTTTAACAATGAATAAATTGTTTTTATCTATTAATATATTACTATGTATAGAAATTTTTTATTGACTTTTTTATTTTGATTTAATTATTTTTATCTAAAATCCATGTGATACTCAAAAGGTTTTATGGATATTATGTATGGATCAATTCGAAACTTCACCATCACCCCCCCCCCCAGGCCGACCCAGGGAATTTGAACTATTTGAAATTTGACTGATCAACTTCTCCACCCCCTGTGCAAAAAATGTCTTCAAATGCCCCACTGTAACAAGAAATTAAGCGTTCAAATGCCCCACCTTCATATGAAAATTATGAAACAGTAAACACGAAAAGTACAAAATATACGGAAATGTTTTTCGACAAGATAGCGAAATTCACATAAAAAG